ACCTTACGCATGGAAATAGTTTTATCGTGCACATGCAATGCCAGCCAATCCAATTAACGGTCACCGAAAAACAGGGAACACAATTATTTTCCATTATCGAAATCATGTCAATAACCCATCGCGACTAAATAGTAATAACTAATAATAAAAGGTATGCCGATTCAGTTTGGCGCAACTGAATAATATTAATCAAATGAAACGTGAACATGATGAAAATATTTTTAGTAATTTTTTAGTTAAGTTGTCATTGTTTGGCCGTTTTTTAGTGCATACAACAGCAAAAAACAATTTCGCTTACTACTCTCGCTCGCTCTCTCGATAGGAAATAAATGTAATGTTATTGTATTCGAGTTATGTTTGGCTGAGTTGTCAAGCACAATGTCCCATTACATTGGCACAACCTGAAATATAATAATTCCGAGTGTTAAAAATGAAATCTTACTATCAGCACCAAAACATTCCAATTCCCGTTCTTTCAACAGCAAAATGGCATTAGGCGCGAAACCCCAGCCAAGATCATTCGCACGAAACGGTAAATTCAACAATCGACTTACGCAACAGGATATACGTACAAATATCGAGATAGAGAGAGAAAGAGAGAAAAATCGTGCCGTTGAAGTAGTCAAGAGGCAAAATAGTTTTGAAAACAAATACAGTGTCAAGAGATTTTTGTTTGAAGAGTTGAGTGGAACTACAAAAAAAATCGATTCTTCCTCTAATTAATGCCTGATTGATTCACGCAATTGTGACCACACTACAAAACCTCAACAAAACGAAACACCTACAGCTCTTTAAAAGTGAAATAAAATGAATTCAATGAGAAATAATTGGCAATGCTTAAAGCGAATTTTTTTTCTCTCAACGATTTTTTGTGAAAAGGACGTGTATTGTGGTGCGTGTGTTATCCATCAAGTCGTTCAAATCGATTGGTTTTCTTGCCACAAAGTGTTGTTATCGCATGCGTTCCATACCCAATTTTACTCGTTTTCAATGAGTCGATTTTTTTTAAACAATTTTTTTATTTTCTCGATTCATCTCACTCACTCTCTTCTCTTATTTGCTTTCCGTTTATTAAACGAACATTTATTTATCGAACAATATAAATTTAATGGTATTTTATATCAACGTGTCGTTTCTAAATCGTTGCGTTTAGATGTCAATGTGAGTGTGTGGAGTGAATGGTATGATATGATATTATTTGTGAAAAATGAAGAAAAATTCGAACTGTATGATGACTGATACCGTTTCTGTTCAGAAGACTTGGTTGTTTTCACATCCGTGCACACATGCTCATTGTTCGATCTCTATACATTTTCTGCTTACAATGTTCTCTGCCATTCAATGATCCAATCAGTCGATCAGTGTGCGGTAAAATGTTTATGATGACAATGGCACACATTATTTCACCACCGCGTCAATTCTTAATCTTGAACGTCTTATGACTACCCGATAATATTTTATATTTTTCATTTACAGCACAATCGCTCCACCACACACTTTTTTTCTCTTCGGTTTTTTTTTTGCTTCTGCGTCTTTTCTTCGTTTATGTATGTGTTGAACGCGGTTCGGTTTACTTTCTGCATTGAGATTGATAAATAGTGTTACGCCAATTGAACATTCAATTATCAAAACATACATGTTTTGCGCTGCTAAGAGATTATAAAGTGCTTGGTTCAAGTGTTTGTTGCGTGTCTACCATTATTTAACTCACTCTATCATCACAATATCGACTCCTTCTTTTTCTTTCTTCTCTCTGTCTGCCATTCTTCGTCACTCGTTGCTGTTTGGCGCATTCGATTTTCGGCATTTGCTTATGCAATGAGCTTGTGCGGCAAAAGTGGTGAACATCGGAGGTTATATTGTTGCATATTTGAACGAAAGAAAGACGAATTTCAAGCGTACACATAAACAAACTTCGCTTTATGCTCGCGTCGATTCTATTTAATGCGATTGTCTACACAATGTGAACATTGCTACCAAATTCTTTGGCGCATAGTTGTACGGTAAGAGCCTGTGGATGTGTGTGTTGTAACTGTATACTGTGTTTTAGGCAAATCTGTGCTCGCTTTTTCTTCAGTTCAATGCGCTTTCATTTTGTACTCAATAAAACACTTCTAGATCAAGTACATAGTTTTTTGGAGATCTTCATAATCAAATGCAGCCATTGTGATCAATCAATTGGCTTTCATCAAGCAACAATATTTGAAATTCACTTCCAAAGCTTGCACAACTTTTCACAGCTAAACGAACTTAATGGAGAACTTGACAACATTGCTTCAAAGTGAAAAAAGGATAGCCAATTGCGCAAAATACATGTAGTGAAAAAAATGGAGAATAAAAACAATCGAAATCAATACGAAAATTCTCTGGAAAAGTTATAGTTTATCCATATTTGGTTGGAAAATAACCATTATTCAATAGCTACTATCTATTAGATAATTAAAATCTAGGGGGAAATTACTCAAAATTTATCGAAAATTTGCAAGCTCCGAAATGATAGAAGCTCTCTTCTCTCGTAAGACCTCTGTCTTAACTCATAGTGACTTTTCTACTGCAGTTATTTTTTATCTTTTGCTCTATATTAAATGAATTATTGCAATTAAAATGCAACAGCAAAAGAGCATTTTTTCCTTAATTTTCCTTTAAGAAAATTTATTTTTGCAATTGCATAAGCTTCAATTGAAAATATTTTTTTTTAAAGATTTTCAATCAATTAAGTTGTTGATTCGTTCAATAATTTTTAAAATTATCGATAAAGAGAGTATTTTCTAGAAAAAGCAGAATTTAACAAAATGCTTAAATAAAAAATTATCAACATTTTGTTTAAAAAAATATTGAAGAATATTTCAAATCAATAAATTGGCCAAAATTTCGATTTGATTGACAAATTCATTTGAATTATCCTCTTTCGAACCAAAGAAAGACCATGATCTCTCTCTCTCTCTCTCTCTCTGAATTTTTGTGTCATTAAATGTACGTCATTTTATCGATACAAAAATTCGACGTTATTTTATCCGAATGTCAGAATATTTATGAAATATTCATATCGGCAAAATCGGTGTGTTGATTTTGTCATTAAGTATGTGATACATATTTTTTTTTTGTTCCAAATAAACATGTATGTTTCGGTGGTTGTTTTTTTATTTCAAGCGAAAATGCAATTAAATAAAATTACAATAATTACACGTTGAATTTCTACCGAGATAAAAGTAATTTGATGATGATGATGACGATGATGAAGACAACGAGAAATGATGAAGTACACTATACGAAATAAAATCAATAGAATTTTAGTTTTGTTCATCAACAAACAAAAAAGTGCAGAATAATGCTTGCGCACCGATTTTAATGAAAAATTATGAGACCACGCCCATTGAAAGGCTGTTGCATTTCGCTTTCTCTCTGTTGGGTGTTCGGCACTCAGTTCGGTGACAACGGCACATTCGTGTTCGCAGCAAACGATAAAGTACAAACAAACACAAGCACATACAACGATGAAAGCGGGCCGCCCAAGAATTTATTGGCAACAACAAACACAGTATAAATGGTTCTATCCCACTTTCGATTGGTTTGTATGGGTGCAATCGTGTGTATGGATGTACGTGTGTATGCGTGTGTGGCTTATTTAGATGGGTTTGTATGTTATGTTGAGCACAATGGTGGTCCGTATTGCTGTTTGTAGCCAGGAAGCGTAACGAAACAATCGAATCAAGACATCATTGGAGTAAAGCACTGTTTGGCATTTTGTAAGCGCAGCATTTTCATCTCGTGAAACTCGCAACATCATCATTGCGATTCGTTGCGAATATGCGTGTCCTGTTGCCGAAACAACGAATGAATGCACTTTTTTCATTTCGCCTATGACTACGTAAAAAATCGTTTGTTCATTTTAACTTAGCGACAAGAGGCACGTAAAACAACGGTTCTATATTTGTTGATCATACATTCGGATTGAAAATATTATTTTTTTAATCAAACTTATTGAATTAATCGTTAGATTAAGTTCTCATTAATTGTACTAATTAAATTTTATTGGAAGTCTTGATTACTAATTTCGGAATTTAAGCATTTTTCAATTTTAGAATGTCTTTTTGAATTTCAAATTTCGATGAATATTCCTTAATTTTTGATGCAAATTCTATATTTTCCGATACGTTTCCGATACATAGTTTTCGAGATCAATTTCTTTGATCTTGTCAAAATGAAAAACATGCCAATCTAAACAATCTCATTTGCATTTTGATTATGGTTCAATGGTTTCGTTTGATTGATCCACAAAATTAATTCATTAAATCTCTGGCATTCTATCGAATGCTATCTTTAATTTTGCGAATCTAATTGGAGAAATAATCCATAAAGAAATTGAATTAAGTTCGTGTTGCGTTGAATGAAAATGTCATGAAAAAGATCTTCGTTACAAAAATGACTCTCCTTCTTTCTCTCTCTCTCTCTCTGTGTCTGTTTCTTGAAAGGAAGCGTTAGTAGGTCATGCGAATGAAAAAAAACCGACGAAAAAGATGCGAACGAAAAAAAAAGTCATTGAATGTTTGTCTTTTGCTTGTAATTGTAAGTTGTGATTTTCCAATGCTACTGTTGGTGGTGGCTACAAAAGTGGCGTTTACCGACCATATTCATAATTCTGTCTCGATGGCTTTCTTGACGAGTACGATTGTGCAACGATTTTTGTAAACATTTCGCATCACATTCGGACTGTTGCTTTTGGCCTGCGTAAATCCCGTATACGCTTCCTATGGATTACTTTATTCCATATATACACACAACAGCCGATGTTGCTGTTGCAGAGCACATGGTCCATTCGCACATACACTCAACACACTCTCACACATGAATTTCACGTCGTACACACACACAAACTCATACACGCTCAAATTCTATCTTTCTTTCTCACAAGTACACACATACAATTCTTGATTCTCGTTCTTCTCTGCTCGAGAGTGAGTGAGGCACACACATCGCATTCACATTACATACAACACCCAGTGCACATACAAGCCTGTGATAGTGAATCGTATACATATCGCGTTTCTCGGTTCTCTGGTCCCGCTCTCGTGTGATTCAATTATTTTGTTTCTGTTCTCGGCAATGAACGAGCACGCAAACACGAACCTTGTTTGTAGTGCGTTTTTGTTTCGTTATTTCCAGTGTGTCTTGTGTGTATTTCAATGTGCTTTTTTTTGAACAATTCGATTCGGTTTTTCACTTCACACGGAAAACAAACGAAAAACTTCAATTCGGTGGTTGGCATTCGATTTTCACATTCGAATTTTTCACAAATTGAATGGAAACAACGACACGTTAAATGCATTTTTAATAATTACAATTGGGAAATGGTAAAAGTGCTTCACAACAGCGAACCAAAATAAATGAAACGAGTGAGAAAAATAAAAAAACAACAACAATGTTTTATGGAAAATGTGTGTGTATCGATTTTGAAAAGAAAAATAAACGATAATATCAGTGACATTTGATAAACACGTATATGAACAAGATATGAATGGATTTTTGTTTCGTAATTATTCTGTGATTATGATAATGTGTGAATAGTTTGATTGCACCACAACACATCTTGCGGATTATTTCAACTGCCAACTGTCTTGGTGTCTAATTTGAATACATTTGGTTATATTGCCGCTACATTCAAACGAAAAAGCATTTTTTTTTGTTATTCATGGTTAGTGTAATTGAAATTTGTTGGTGATTTTGATATTTGCATTTCAAATTGGATGCTGGTTAGCGGTTGAATTTGATAAGGATATTAAACCGTTTGTAATAAGCGCTGTTAATATGCAAAGCATTTTCTAGAAGTAAGCACATTGGTTGGTTGAAATTTATTACAATTCAAGCTTAATTAGATTGGCCGAGAGAGCAAAAACAAAACAGTTCCTTGCAATATATTTGAAAATGTCGACAGGATAATGACGGAAGCAAAATTATTTACGAGTTGAAATTCAATTCGAAAAGTTATATGCACAAATGCAGATGTAGCAAAATTTTACAGACAAATCACATTAATTTTACAAGGAACGTCTCATTAGCAGCATATACATTTGATAATACACTAAATAGAAGAAATTAAGCTTTTTTGAATGCAAATTTCGCATTTTGCGCAGAATTGGATAGGTGATGATTTTAATTTAAGAATTTAAGGTTACCAAACTGTTTCTTTTACCGAATTTTTTAAAGAAAATGAAAAAGAAATCGAATGAAAGTCGCAAAATAGGCTTATAACTAAAATTATTTAGGTTTATAATATCTTATATTTAAATTCCAACCTAAGCTAACAAACTTAATGGTGAAAAATAGATTTTTAAGACTTGAATAGTTAAACATTTTCAGAGAAATGACAATTGTCTTTAAACTTTGCATTCACTATATCAATGAATATAAACTCCATCATTTTGAGCCTATGATTTCAATGTTTTGCCTTTTTCCCTCTTTTTTTCAGTCGATTAAAGAATTCGTGCACTGCAGCGGAAGTAGCGAGTGAAAATAATGTCAAATCATCAAACCTAGAGCATCGACTGAATTCAATTGTGGTGTGAAATGAACAAAAAACGTTAAAAGTATTCCGATTATATATTGAAAGTGCAAATAAAAAGAAAAAAAACTTAAAAAAAGTTACCAAAAAGTTAGGAAGAAACTTTGAAAATTCTTGTTTAGTGTAAATTTTTGTTTATTGCGCGCGGAATTAGAAATTCGTCAAGATTTTCGCGTTACAATCAACACCAGCGGCCATGATGGGAGCATCAGTGACTCCCTGGCCAGGAACGACAATGATGGATCGCGTCACATTGGATGACATTCCACACAAAGGTAAACACGCATATATAACCAAATACAATTTTTCATCTTTCATCGAAATTAGCGAATTTAAAACACAAATAAACCGAATTAAACAAACAAAACAAGTGACAAGAATGTTCACATTTTCCAATGAAAATCCGTTCAAAATCTTGATTTAAAATGTTCGTTGTTCATCATGGTCGCCATCGTGGATATTCGATTATGGATAGAGTAATTCAAACTATTTTCAATTGATAAATAAATCGGATGCTTAGGAACATTGCAATTTCTCAATTGACCTTTCTGCCCGTCGAACTGATTTCTTAATTTAATATTCTTTCCTTAAAGACGAAACAAAATCGATTCATGCAAATACTTTTTCAACGGAATTCAACCCTTTTTCCTTATCATTCTCTCACACCCCGTTTCTTTCTCTCGTTGCCCATAAAAAAAGTTGCTTCTCTTTTCCATAAAATACATTGCTATAAACACACGCAATTTGCTGACTTTATGTTATAGCGTCCAATTCGGCATGAAAATGTGCTATTGATTGTTTCTTGCTACTTTATTCGAGTCCGCTTTCACTTTTCAATTCAAATAAAAGTATGTAAGACCCTTTGGCTCTGTTGTTGTTGTTTTTGTTGGACGATATTGTGTCCATTTCAAAGGGGGGACACTCGGAATAATCGTTTTTAAATTGAAAACGTTTATAACTTTATCTTTGAACGGGAGCAAAAACAAAATCAAATCCCGAATATTTTCTCCGAAGAAATGCTCCTTTTTTGCCAAAAACTGTGCAATTGCTGCAATGAATGAATAATTTATTGTCGAATAAATTCAATTTAAAGGAAATTATCTTTGATTTTTTTTATTTCGTTTTACATTCACTCTTTGTCGAGGCAACATAAAGTGTCGTTATTTATTTACATTGCACATCTTTCTGGCTACTCTTTAATTGTTTTATGCGATCCTTTTAACGTCTAACGCTAATATTTGTTGACTTTGTCAGTTTTCTTTCCATCCCAACCGAAAAGCTTATGCAAAATCTAAGGTGTCGCACATCGCATTTCAAATAAATTCGAAACTGATCAAGTTGACAAATACAAGAGAGACTTACATATGTGTGAAAAGAGTCGTCTGAAAATCCGACGACATTCTTTTCGATATGCACGAGAAAAAAGCCGTTATGTGCATACATAATTTCTGCCATGTATCCTTTGAATAAATATGAAACAAGCAGACACCACAGATTGGCAACAAACAAACATAAACTGAGCACGGAACTCACAACACAGACACACAACAACAACAACAACCAAAAAATAGTGCAAACCAATAGATGGCATCAAATCGGCACGTCGTCCCCAAGATATTTGCATAAAAATATACATATATTCAATCAATAATGTGTATCACGACGTTTTGTTTGTTTGATGTCGTTTCGAAAGGATCCATTCGAATATATGAGAAATCGTGAAACCATGCAATCGACGTTTGTTTGTTCACGGCATACAGATATCAATAAAAGAAAGAAAGGAAAAAAAGTACGAGATCAATAAAATGAATAAAAAAAGGCGAAGAATTCATGTGTTGAGCATTGATTGAATATATTCGAGTGTCGCATGATTAGTCGCCTTTTTGCCGTCTTCAGACAACTTCAAACGTTTTTGATTTAGACGAATTTCCGAAGAATCATAATGACATTTAAGCGCAACAACATTTTTTTCCAATATATTTGAATCGATACCATTTTGGACGGCGGGAAGAGAACTTTTTCGAATTTTTTTTTGTTTGAAATGTAGCAAATTAATAGCTAACGTATCTTTTTTCCGTTATAATAGTAAAGAACAAAAAAAAAATCGACTATTTAAAATTTACTAGAAATCGACAAAAAAAACCATAAACAATGTTTGGATTTTTTTTTAAATGAATAGATTTGATATTTGTGAAGAGTTTGAGTTTCGATTTTTATTGAAATTTTTCATGTAGTCTTGAATAGTAGCTAGGACACACCTAATGTAGAATGTGATTTTATAGATTTTTTTTCCTTTGATTTCTGCGTTTATCAAAAAGTGACATAGGCCAAAGTGGAATTTAGATCAAAAATGAGAACGACGTTTACACCAGCACAATTCGAATGTTGAATATGACCAATAATTTGTGTTGCATTGCGTCGAAAGAGTTTATTTTGACGGTGCAAAATTGAATTAAAAATATTTAAGAAAAATATATAAATCCCAAGTAAATATAGGATGATGAACAAATTAACTTATATTCTGATGGAATTTTTCTTTGTTTTTATCTCACTCTCTTTTCTCTCTCTCTCTCTCTATTTATCTCTTGCTCTATGTGTTGCTCATCTTTGTTTTGTGCATTTGCACAAATGATCTGGATGCATACAAATAAAAAAAACTCTGTGCGCGCGCACATGTCAAATATCTTCTCATCGCGCTGCGGCACCGATGCACTCAACTCAACTTCCATTACGCAATGATCATATATTGGCCAAACAAATTTTACGAACGAAACGAAAAAAAAACACTGATCATATCCAAAATGAAATCATTTTAACAACGAAACACAAAAAAAATGCAAAAAAACCATAACACGAAAATCAATCTTTACAAACCGTACATAAACTAAACAAACAGCACGAGTCCAATACCAGATGTCGGCTGATTTTCAACCAGATTCAAGTAAGTAAATCCATCATGCAACATTCCAAACACAATAAAAAAAACAAATTTTGAAAGAAAAATCAACTAAAAACATTTAACGTTTATTGTTAAGCAGAAGATGACTTTTGTACACAGCTAACATTTTGCATGCATCAAATCAGAATCAAAAAACGCCACAGAGCAATGCCATTCTAAAAAAAATAATAATGGCTTAAATATACAAACACACAAAACACCAGAAATGAAATAAAAAGAGATGCAAGAAACAACAAAAAAAATCAATCTTTCAATTCACGAAATCTCATTTAAGGAAAAAGAAGAAGCAGAATAAAATAAGAAGCAGTCCATTCGAATGAATTGTTATTGAATGTTGCTTTATTTTTATTTTCTCTTTCTCTCTCTCTCTCTGTCCGTGTGTTCAAAAGATGTTTTGTAAATATACACAATAACACATATTTCACGATTGTGATCTAGGTTGTTCTCGAAGGAGAGAAAAAAAAGTACAGAAGGTGATCAGTTTGTTTTTATTTTGCATTGAGATGGTCATTCGTAGCACGAGCGTCATTCATTTAAAGAAAATCGGTCAAAAATTATGTTTTTTCCCTTATCTAAACCAACTGCAAATTTAATTCACAAAATTTCGAATGTTTTATTGTTGCTTGAGATGCAGCTTGTTTGCCGAAATAAACTTTTTTTTTCCTTACTCGCAAAAAAAATCGTTAATCCCATCGATAATCGTATGACGAGCACTAAAACGGTATGCCAACCATTTTTTTTTCTTCTGCTGTGTGGATTTTTCATGTTACAATATCCGATATAATTTTTTGTTTGTTGAAGTTTCCTTAAAATCCTCTATCCGGATGCTTAAACTAAATCAGGAAAATGAGAGAGAAAAAAAACAAAAGCGTTAAATCAAACGTAATCGTGCCGCATTTTTTTTTTCTGTTGTCGGTTTGTGAGTATTTTTTTTCATAATGGCCATTATTGATTTTCGTTGTGTGTCCACAACATCTCTATATCGGTTTTTGATATCGCAAGGATACGTTTTGCATAATTAGAACATTCAGTGAAATTTGAAACGATATCTTTTTTGTTGTTGTTTTCTTTAAATTTCATTGGTTATGAGTGCATTTCAGAAATCTGTTGACGACGATTTTAAGGTAACCGAAAAATGAAAGAGAGAAAAAAGCAAGAAAAAAGCGACCGCATGTAAAATAGACGATACAACAGATTGCAAGCCAATGAGAGAATAGTAGAGACGCATAAAGAGTTCTTGTTTTTTTTGGTACGGTGAGAAGATATGATAGCAACCAGGTCGCATCCAGTGACAAGCGCATTAAAACTAGTCTCCTGTAAAATTAAAACGAACGACAGACACCCAACATATACACATATATACAACAATGACGACAACGTCGACGACAACGATGTTGAATTTTTAAAAAAACGTATAATATTATGCTGAATTAATAGAATTTTCGAAAAACTGAAATATCAAACACAATGGCATTAAAACTGAACTGAACTGATCTGTGAGCGCTTTTTTTGCTCGTTTTTTTCTCTTACTCTCTTTAAAATACATTTTGCTGTTGTTTGTTTTCGATGATGAAGATGATGATGATGAGATGATGCAAAAGGAATCGAATGTGTCTCTCGCACTCTCTCTCTGTCTCTGTGTATATGAGCCAGTCAGTGTTAGTATCCCATTTATTAATGTGCCTTAGCCACAAAATCTCGCGTTACTCGTTCTCTCCCCGAACAGACGTCAGCGAACAAAACATGAGAGCGTGCATTGCAACAGATTTAATAACACACAGTATCCAAACACACAAAAATGTTCTTGCCGCAGCATTTGACAGCTCTCGTACCAAGCGAAAAAGCAAAACGAAAGAAAAAAAATTGTGTACACACACACAAAAAAAAAATGACATAGAGACTCAAAGTAATAAACAGATAGAAAATGTCGTTTATGTTCGCTTCATATTCATTCTTCTCATTTGTCGTTTAGGTTGCTTCGTCTGTTTTTTTATTCTCTGCGCTCTGTTGTCTTTCATTTTTGTTGCTCGGATTTCATTTGCAGGAGTTGTTTGCTTGTAATTTTCTCTTTCTTTCAAATCGGTCGCCTGACCGTGTGTTGTGGTGCCTCTTTATCACTATTGTTACCAGTTTTGTGATGCAATGAATACACACATACATCGATCTACACTCTGCTGCCGCGTCGTCGTGAATTTTACGATATACGTTGGCGTGCGCGCGTCCGCTCATATATATATATTTTTTTCTCTCGGTTGGGCGCTTCGGCTCTTTCGCTCATCAATTCTTGGTTTGTTCGGTATATATGCATGTGGATGTGTACAAAACAACTCCACACACTCCGCGCGTACTTATAGCGTTTTAGTATTTATGTCAGTGTACCATTTGATGCGTAAGCTAATTTATGTTGACATTTTTGAGGTATGCCACACCGAATCATTTGGTTGGATGACTATGGTCACTAGCACACATACACACACACACAATAAACACACATATAAACACAATCATGCACATATCTATCTCTATCTTGTATACAACACCGTCTCCCTTGTGGATCATACACAAAATGCTCACTTATGATATTCTCGTTTCGAAGATTTCACATGTTTGCATCGTACATTGGCCATAACAAAAAAACATCAACAAAATCGACTATTTATATTTATTTGAATCTTACAATTTACACCGTGTTACGGTGATTCACTGCTCATATTCGATTTATGCGATACCAACCATACGTTGCGACGATCAATTAAGTGAAATTGGTCTAGTTCCGATGAATATCTTGAGTTTATGTATCGAATCGTACGCAGTAAAAGTCGTTTTCATTTCAACGATCATACATTCATATCAACTAATAATGATTAATCAAAAAAATATATAATTGCGTCTAGTATCCTGACATGCAGCATCCACGATAAAAAAACTAGCTATCAAAATGCCAAAATTTCAAATTTGATTAAAAAAACAGAATAGAAAAAAGTCTCACAAGAAATGTATGAAGCCTCACAAAATCCAAGTCAGTTCCTTGAATTCCATATACACCGAACAAAATACCGAGTTGCGTTTTTTTTTCGCTCTCATCTGCGTGGAATATGCTTCTGTTTTTCTGCCAGTGTTGTGCAGTTTTTTGTTTCTCTCCTTCTTTTCTTCATCATCTGCCATATGGCTCATGCAAGGTTCTCAGGTTTAATCACAAAAATGGCAGGTAATTGAAATGTTAAGCCAAAACCTGATTCGAAAAATATGCACCCGTTCATTGCTCTTATTTTGATGTAAAATAACTGAAAAAAAGACAGAGAGCGCGCGAGAGACACAGATGAAAAAAGGAAAACGAACAAAAAACACCAACATCACAGAAAATTCCAAGATATCAAAGTTCAAATTGAAAGAGATCGAATGATCCACAGGAATTCAGACCGAATCACATGATTTCAATTCGCAGTACACTAATGATACTTTTAAGTTTTTGCCTCCATGTGCATTCAATCTGGACCTGTGGTATTCACATGAGTTCGGTGTATGTGTGGCACTGTGACTTAACATGTGTCAGCTTTTCATCATCACATCATTTCGAACAATCTCGAATTATTACTATTAGAAATTAGATAGGTTATCATAGTTCGAGTATATCAATCGCGATATGTCAAATGGTGAGGGCCATTTTTGTAGTGTGGTACACGGTTTAAGGCATTTTATTTGTTGTTGCTTGCTTTTTATTTTTATTTTTTTACATTGAATTCGTGTGTATGGTGTTGTTGTTACTGTTTAAGAATGCATGACATGATGTCGCTTGTAATTTAAATTGATTTTTCTATTTGATTTAGATTCATTAAAATATCGATTACATTGGCTCTGGACAGCCCGTTTTTCCACATTCGTACCTGTCAAATTTGAATTTCATGACAAACGTCTTCGTTTCTATTTCACATTGTTCACGTACACATTTGAAGTGCACACACACACACACACACGACAAAATCGATGATAGAAGATATGAATTGAAAAGCTAAGCTTGGTGACAATATGTATTTCTTTTTCGGCGTACTTTTCACAGGGAGTGCACTTTTTCCCAATTTTTTGTTTCGTCTGTCCAAAACAAATGTGCCAACGAAAGTTAATCCATTTTTAATGAATTTGGGAACAGAAATGATTTTTGATACTTTTCGGTTTTTTTTTGGTGACAACGATTAACTATGGATGAGAATCAGGTGAATGCTATGAGTCTCTCTCTCTCTCTCACTCGAGTCGATGACAAAGGCCACCGATAAACCGACAGCAATCGAAGAGATGTTGAAAAAAAATAACAACAAATTGACGAAGGAATGACGCGCACGAAAGAACAAGAGCGATAGAAGCCCACAACATATCAAAACCCAAACCGATATACACATTATAAGGCTCAGGAAATCTGAGTATTTTTTTTATATTTTCATTTATTTTATAGTTTGTCTCTAGGCTCGCTCTCGCCCTTTCTCTCTCTGTCCGGCTCTCTCGATGCATGAAACATAAACCATTTTAATCACCAAGAAAATTTTGCCATCAAATATTGGATAACATTTCGCTTCGTCTTCGTCATTTTAGCTGTCGGTCGCCAAGTTTCATGGTGATTGTTCGTTTCTTATTTTTGTTTTCATCTACTTTGCATTATCCTTTGGATCCAAACCATGCAAAAGATCAGAGCTTGCAGAGTTAAGAAAAATGTATGAAGCGACAAAAGAGAGCAAACCGAACACTCACACGAGATGGAACAGCAGTTGAAAAAGAATAAAGTGGAATAAAATTCCATATTCTGTCCATTGACTTTATCCATTTGTCATTATCTCGTTTCAATCAGTGATCCGAAAACTTTAGATATTGTCGTGTTTATAATTAGCGCATGTTTTACTATTTATAATTCACAGCACAAGATAATTAAGACAAACACATACACATTACTTGCTATTATATCGGAAATTATTCATCGAATGCATAAAACAATATTAAGAATAAATGAAAGAATGTAAAAATGACTGAAAAGAAGTGGCGGTAAAAAAAATGAGTACCAAAAGAGTATGTCGCGAAACTAAACCGAGATAATTCTTTGAACACAATAAAAGGCACGACGCTTGACATAGTATCGATTTTACTTTCAGCATTGGATACTTTTAATTTTTCAATTTATGCGACAAAGTCACATGTTTCGAATTCAAAATCGCAACTTATTCGTTGAATCTTCTTAATGCTCCACTGTATTAAGAGCGAAAAAACATGAATGCAAGATATTTTTTTACGTTGCAATGTCGCGTGTGTTGAAGTGGATAGCTCAAGGCCACCTCCTTTCATTTAAAACTAGACGATATTCCCAGGTACATCAATAGCACAATGATTGTCTCGCAAAGCTATGCTCAACATTTTAATAAGCTATCAAAAAAGACTAATGATAGCAAACCATGAAAAATGATAAAATTTTCTAGTTTTCGTGTCGTCGACCAAATAGCAGGTGAAAACTTGTCCAATTTATTCAATCGTATGCTATTTCATAAAATGAATTCACTATCGACCAGTGAAAATTATTAAATGTCTTTGAATTCAATGAAGAAAAATGTGTAGATGTGATTCCAAGCAATAGTAAAAAATGTGCTTTTACAAAAACCTCAATTCAGAGGTGGAATAAAATGATGTTTTATTAATAAATAATAATTTATAGTGAAAACATGTTTATTGACATCATTCACGGTATTCAAATTATAGACCAAGTGACAAGAGCTATGTTTCTTCTATTCTCGTTTAAAATGAATATCAATTGAAAAAAAAATGTAATGTTCGGAATGTGGTGTTGAAAAATAGTTGTATCGGTTGTGATTTTGCATGTTTGTTAATTGTGGCATTTCATTTGAGTTTTTCATTCGGAGATGGGGAATTGTAATTGGTTTTTGTGTGTGTGTGCAATGTGCATATATGCAAATCAGTGCATTTGCATTCGTTTGATCGTCCATCAATTGTTGCAATAAGCAACAATTTCGATTCAATGATAAATCAAACGGAATTAATTGGAGATAGAAAGATATAGAGAGAGAGAAAGAGAAAGAAAAAAAAACCGTTCATGCAATAGGCATATCTACTGACCAAAGATGAGTAGATGCAAACCCTTTTGATTGGATTTTAAACAAAAACAACGGCCTCCTTTCAACTTCTCTGATGTCTCTTTCTTCTCTTGTGCTCCGTTTTCGGTAGTAAGTTTAGTAATTTAATTGCGTTTTGTTTTCCGTTTGAAATAAATGCACAAATTGCAATGCCGTCGGCTATTTAACTATCATGTTTTTTTTTTTTGAAATATACAAACAATGTGAGGCAAACCGCAACGGTATGTATGTGATAGTGTAATTGACGTTTGATCAGACAGAAAAACCTTACACACATACACGCACGATAGAAATTGAAAGCAAATCAGAGATTTGTTTGCAAAGTGTGTTTGTGAGCGTGAATCGCGTGTCATCTGTAGCTAAAAATCAAACAATTTTAAACCGAAAATCGGTTAAGTAAACACCCGCAAAACAAATCAAGTAATCCTCATACCGTAGAGTGCCATAGCAGCAATACAATGAAATTAAGCAAAGTAAACAGTGTTGCAAAAGAGTCACGTACCGAAAATGGGCGCATCAATTGCAATCATATGATTCGGCATTGAGCTTCGGTTGTTGTTTGCTCGAATTAAACTAAACGAAAATCGCCATCGGCGCAAATGTATGATACACAACAAATTGTATCTTTATTTTTGTTTTTCTTTACGCTCTCACTTTCTCATGCATCATGTTTTAATCACGGCCACATCAACACAGATTAGAATAGAGACAAAGCAAGAAAATATAATGTGTGTTTGTTGTTTTGACGTGATGTTAATTTTCAAAAGAAATCGAATAAGAAACCGGAACATTCGATTAGAATTTGAATTAAGTTTGGCAACAAAGTAATTGTCTAATTTTCCTTTCATTTCATTTTCGATAGATTTGTTGGTGTTCTTTCTAATTTATACAATAAGTTCTAATCCATCTTTCAACACAACTAATTGATGATGTCTTTTCTCTCTTCTTTGCTTTCACATTTTTTTTTTCGTTTATCTGTTGCTGTCGATGATGCTGTCGCTGCATGGTTAATGCCACATCAATACTGTGTGGTTCACATCGAAAACAGGTCACAGTGGAGTCAATCAATTGGGTGGTGTGTTCGTTGGCGGTCGACCGTTACCAGATTCGACGCGTCAAAAAATCGTCGAATTAGCCCACTCAGGTGCACGGCCTTGTGACATATCACGCATCCTGCAAGTATCGAATGGTTGTGTTAGTAAAATATTAGGACGATATTATGAAACGGGCAGCATACGACCACGCGCTATTGGTGGCTCAAAGCCACGAGTCGCCACCGCTGAAGTTGTTCACAAAATATCACTCTATAAACGCGAATGCCCAAGCATTTTTGCATGGGAAATACGTGATCGATTACTACAAGAAGGCGCCTGCACAAACGACAACATTCCTAGCGTAAGTATACAATGGTTTTTCATTTATTTATTTTTTAAATAATAATTGCATTCTAGGTTGGTGTTGAAAACCGAATATTTGTTTTTTTTCATATCAGGTTTAATCAATCACAAGCAAAAAAAAACATATTTTTTTTCAAAACATTGAACATTTCAGACATCATTTTTGAATGAACATTTTCATTCAAATGCATTTCGGTTTAAAAAGGACACTTTTCTAATCAAAACTAGTCAAAAAAGGACTAATACGTAGGTTGCTCCATAATTTTTTTTAAAATGGTACTTATAGTGTTGCCCGATGTAAACCATTGTCATATTCGTAAAGTTTGATGTTTTGGTATGTATTCGTGCCCTGAACCTTTTGTCGTACGAACGCTATTTGTATTGTTTACAGTGACTGGTAAACTGCGACTCAACAAAAAAATGAATTTTACACGTGAAGATTTTCGTAAAATGATTTACTACGATTTTCGAAGTAAATTATCTCAACAACAGTGTTTCGATCGACTTCATTTGGCCTTTGGCAATGAAGCACCAACCCTTCAGACAATTTATAACTGGTACCGAGAATTCCGTTGCGGTCGTAGTTCGCTCAAAGACGAGTTTCATACAGGTCGTCCAAAATCGGCTGTTGTGCCACAAAACATCGATGCTGTCAGAAAACTGATTATGGAAGATCGTCATGTGACCTACCGTGAGATTGAGGCATCTTTGGGCATTTCATCCCACAGCATACATACAATTTTGCATGAACATTTAGCCGTAAAAAAGATTTGCTCTCGTTGGATCCCACATAAATTGACCGATGAACAAAAAATGGCTCGTGTGAGTTGGTGTAAAGAAATGCTCAAGAAATTCAATCGTGGTGCTTCAAAAGACGTTAATAAAATCGTCACTGGTGACGAATCGTGGATATATGCCTATGAGCCCGAAACGAAACAGCAGTCGACTGTATGGGTCTTCCAAAATGAAGATAACCCAACGAAAGTTGTTCGAGCAAGAAGCACTTCGAAGCGAATGGTCGCCTGTTTTTTCGGGAGAAGTGGTCATGTGGCAACCGTTCCACTAGAGGATCGTAAGACCGTCAATTCTGATTGGTATACCACCATTTGTTTGCCCGAAGTGTTTGGTGAAATAAGAAAAAACAACCACCGTCGCAAAATAATTCTTCATCACGATAATGCGAGCTCTCACACATCTTTTCAAACTACTCGATTTTTGACCGGTCAAAACATCGAACTGATGGGTCATCCACCGTACAGTCCTGACCTGGCACCCAATGACTTTTTTTTGTTCCCAAGCGTGAAGAAAAAACTACGTGGTCAACGATTTTCGACACCAGAAGAAGCAGTTGAAGCGTTCAAAACACACGTTTTGGAGATATCAGTTTCGGAGTGGCACGAATGCTATGACAAATGGTTTCATCGAATGCAAAAGTGTATCGATCATCTCGGGGAATATTTTGAAAAACAATAAAACCATTTTCGACAAAAAACAACTGTGTTATATATGTTTTTAAAAAAAATTATGGAGCAACCCTCGTAGAGCTGCGTATAAATAATTTTACAATTAAATTAAAAGAAATCAGTTAAATCGAATTAAACATTCATTCTGTTGATCATCCTTCTCTTCATTCCGGTTCATTTCGATAAATTCCAAAATGCTAGAGACAGGGATTGACAAAAATATGTATCTTTTGCACTTGAATCTTGAAAACGATAAAAACATGATAAACAACAGCAATAAGAACAATCAACAAACAAAACCACTTTAGACCGTTGACAAAACAGGAAACAACAACTCCAGAATACCCAATGCAACGATACACACACACACACACACCAAATGCAAATAGTCGTTAAAGTTTTATTGCGTAAAGAAACTCAACAAGTTATCACGTTGTGGCGTTGAATTTGTGATGAACATTTCGAAAAGAGAGGTTATTTAAGTGAGGATAACGAGATTTATACGCCATTTAATTTTATTCTAAAGTTTTTCACAACGTTTGTTACCCAATTGTTAGAGCTATATGCCGCCCTTCAGCTAGAACAAACTTTTGCGTCGCCTCTTACCACCTCATTACCCGAAACGGTATTTAATATTTCAAACAATTTATGCGTCAACGACATCCTTTCGTTAGAAAATGTTAACCAAAAGTGATGAACCAACTACGTATATTCGCAAATTTCTTCAGCTTCTGCTTCATATCAATCGCATGATTCGATTATTGTAATTAAAATTTATTTAGCCAAAGATGCAAAATTCGAAAATTGCCACCTTTCACAAGTGCAACAATTTCAAATCCTTATAAGAATGAAAATGTTCATCTTTACGTTCGATGAGCGTTGCAAGGTTATCGAAAATCGATAAAAAGCAATTATTCTGAACGGGACGCAAACCGATAAATAAGTGCAAAATCATTGCACAGCCATTGCCGAAGGACACCACTATATTAAATAAGTGTGACAAAAAGATCATGAAAATAATGAGCCGCATTTGCTGAATAATATTATCTTCGTCCCCCGTTAAATTTATGCGATTGCCTCCTCCATTTTCTTTTTTTCCGCTTCTGCTGCTGTTGTTGTTATTTTTATTCCTTCGTTGCTGGGTGACATCGTAAAAACCGTTTCTTTCGCTCCTTGTGGCGGGATGGGTGTATAAATGTGTGTGTGTGAAAATGCGCGCGCGAAAACACCGAGTGTTTGAGTGTAATTCAATATTTCTCACTGTCACCATCACTATTGTCCTCATTATCACTTGGTCGCGCGCGCGGTTAAAATGTGGCCGAACTGTTTGTGTGTGATTTTGTCTGTATGGTCTTGCAGACTTCTTTTCTCATTCACATTTCTTTCGATTGTCATTCGATTTTTTTTCTTGCTTCTCTTTGCCATAGCTAAACAAAATTCACTCTCTCCGAAATGTGTTTGCATTCATTCACCACAAAACTTTACCTCACTATAATTTATCTTCTGGCGATATTGTGTGTTGTTGTCGGCGACTCCTTCGTCACGTCTATTTAACAATGTCGTGAAACGCTATTCGTTTATGCATTTTTTTCTTCTTCTCTCGTTCGTTGTTGTCGTCATTGTTGTTGTTTGAACTCACCCTATTTTCTCTGTGCCAACATTTCATACATTTTCTCACTTGCTCCTTTGCTTCCATCGATATTGACTTTCATTTCGGCGAAGTCCCATGCGCTTTTATCTATTTTGAATTTTAAATTTCGTTGTGGCGTTGATATTTATGTTCTTATTCATAAAGGCTTGTCTCGCATTCACGGCGAAGAACAGCATTTGTGGGTGTGTTTGTGTGTCTGTGTGTGTCTCTGTGTGTGTATGGCAAAAATGTTTGTGATGCGTTCATTATTGGTACGCATTGTGAGAGTGGCGCTTATGATATCTAAGCGTTGATAATGTGCTGTCGTGAATGCCAAACAAGAAAAGAGACTGAAATTATGTATTGTTCAAAAGAATGAAATGATTTCTTTTCACCTTTTTTTTTTGTTCATACTTTATCACATCATTGTGAAAGAGTGAATCACGCACAAATGTCGCAGTCGTTATCATCACCGTTGTTGTCGTCGTCGTCGCCGCATTTATCATATTGATGAGGAATTCACACACCGCTGTTCGTTGATTAAGTGCTTGAAATTCGATCGAATATTGTCTGTTTTCAGTGGATATCGATTTAGCAATACTTTTTTTTTTCATTCTCATCAGACAGACGATGATTCGCCAAACGTCAATTTTCGTTCAGCTGGAAAACGAGATGAATTCCACACTCTTTTCTTTCTCTCTCTTTGGTTTTCGCTCTTTTGCAGAATCGAGCACGGTGGCGAGAACAAAGCCTAGAAACATTCTAATATTTTCTTCTTCTTTTTTCTTTAATGAAATGAATTATTAATTTTAAGAAATTCCATTGAAATGCGAACAATTTTTTTTTTCATCATTTACCAAATTATGAATATATTCGCATATGCTACATACGTGCATAAATACATCACACGAATAAAAATGGAAGCATTCTATCAGGACGTGGACGCGATTAAATGCTTCCCGAAATGAAATCGAACAAATAATAATGGGAAAAAAAGAAAGAAAAACGGAATACATGTAGTCGGGCGCAATAACGAGCGCTAAAAATGAAGATTTTCATTAAATCGATGGCACGTGGCAATATCGGCCACGCTTTTCTGCATTTTAAGCGTGTAATATCGCTCTCTTGTGTTCGCTTCACGTAATTTTAACAGATTTTTGTACTGCTTACAAAGTAACACACTTCAGCCATCTAACCGGCCGATTATTCGTTTTACGGTCCGTACGACGGCGTCGACAGCAACAACCGAACTTCAAACAATATTTCAAACGCGTAACGCCTCTTTCTTCGTTTGACGATTTTTAATAAAATTCTTATTAAATATTTCCGTTTTATCGAGTTTATTTTTACGAGTCTCCACGTTTTACATTGTTTCTTTTTTTCAGTTTGTGTGTGTGTAAACGAGAATGAGAGAGAGAGAGAGAGGACTGGTTTCTATTGCGCCATAGTTTTTGGCTGTCGAAAATGCCAATAATATAAGACTAAGATTTTTACAGCTACCATCCGAAAAGATTGCAATCAAAGAAATTCTTTATCGCTTGGGATGGACGACTTGGACTATCTTTCAACTCGATCAATATATTTAAATTACAAAATTCAAGTGGTTCTAAGTTTAAGCTATCAAACTAGCTCTTGGAATACTTTATAAAAATCACTCTGTCAAAATATTCATAAACACCAAACTGAGAGTGAGAGAGAGAGAACAGTTCCCAGCATTCTCAAACGAATATTTGAGATGTCCGTCAAATTTTCGACATATATTTGACGAGTAAGATACACTTTTGTTGCCTGCAGGGGTTCAAATCAAAGAAAAAGGCCATGCATTCATATCACAAAAGGTAGCCCATCGCCGACAAAATGTTTTGGCATTAAAACTGTCGAAAACAATTTAAAATTCCCAAAACA